AAAACTTGGATTTTTTCTAAAAAATCTCTCAAAAGATTAATTTCCTTTTCACATATAATCTAAATTATCAAAAATTTAAAACATTTTTTAAAAATCAGTGTTTCCTATTCATTATTAACTATTTTTCTGTTTACTTATTTTGTGCTTATTTCCCTGTTTAGTAAACTGTACTTGTCAGAACTAAATTTAGCTATCTGTAATATATTCCTGAATCCTGAGACGTGAAGGAGGCATCTTTAAAAATTGAAAAATTAGTGGAATGGGAATTTTTAAAACATATAACATTATTCTGTAGTGTTTTTTAATTTTATAACTCATTTGCCAATCTTTGATCACTATCAGGTATTTTATTGAAGGCATATCTCCCTGCCTTGTTAAAGTAAACCCTGCCTTGTTAAAGTAAACACGATGCCTACACATTAATTTGGGAGTGGGGGGGGGCGGTCAGTCATGGGGCTTGAACTCTGGGCCTGGGCGCTGTCCCTCAGCTCTTCAACTCAAGGCAAGCACTCTACCACTTGAGCCACAATGCCACTTCTGGTTTTCTGGTGGTTTATTGGAGATAAGAGTCTCATAGACTTTCTGCCCAGGGTTAACTTTGAACCATGATTCTCAGATATCAGCCTCAAGTGTGAGCCACCAGGACCTGACTCCACATTAACTTTTTAATTCTCAGAAATAAATTGTCTGTGGAGGAAAGGAGGGAAGAGTAAATAAGCAAGCACTGGAAATGCTTACATCAAAAGAAGGGAAGAAATTCAAACTTTAAGAAACAAACAGATAAACACCAGTGTACAATCAGCTGCCCTAAGTATCATTATATTCCTCCAAGAATTTTAAATGAAATTATTATATTTGGTTAAGGTAGGACTGAAAAGAGTAGAACAGTGTAAGTTGGAAGAATAGTGAAAAAAAATGACTAAACTATGATGAGCTTGGTACAGAGCAGTAAGACACTGATAGTTATTAAAGAAACAGAATTTAGAGCCATCTTACTTAAGATTTTCAATCCTGAGGAATGTGGAAATTGAGAAACTTGATGGGGAAAAAAGATAGCAGGAGGGAAATAATACACATTGAGAGATTAAACTTATTTTGAAATTTGAATATTTAATCTGTCTAAAGGTTCAAAGTGCTAAATTCCATAACACCAAAGAATCCTGTTTTTAATTCTATCATCTATAGTACTCATGCGACAAATGTGTTTAACCTTTTTGTTTAACCTTTTTTGAAGGCCCCACCACTTATAATCACCAATTCAAGTTCCTGATATATATGATCATGCTTTAGATTTTATATCATTGCTTAGAGTTGGATGATATTTTGATTTACTTTTATTTGTAAGATAGTATTATATCTCATTTATTATACTTTTAAAATGATGCTGCACATAAAATCATGAATTTGCCAAATACTTTGTTATGCAGTGGGTATTAGTTTTTACTCAGTTATTACCCAAAAGATTATACTAAGCATATTTACATTTTTGTATTCCAAGTTAAATAATTAAATTCAACATTAAATTGCATTACATTATTATATTTTAGCACACATCCATAGACCTATAGAAATCTTTTAAAAATTGTAATAAAATGCATAGTAATAACTAAAATATTTTGAAATTTTTGTGAAGAACTATAATTTAACCATGTTTTGAAAATATAATTGCCTATGGTACAATGGACATTGGATTTAGGAATAGGGGCAATATAGTATGGGTGGGGGTTTTCTAATTCTGCTGTTTGCACTACATGATCTAGTGCATCCAGAAGAAAAGCTACCTCATCCCCATCCCTGCTTCAACCAGAGCAGATCAATGAAGTGCTAAATAAAATAGGCTTCTGCATGTGAGTGCCCTGTTGCAAATCTAACAGCCTACTTCCTCACTATGAAAAATCTGATTTCAAAATTATAACATTTAAAAGTCTTTAATGAAAAATGTTACAAGTTGTCACCAGTTGGCTCAAAGAAGATGGTAACACCATTACCAAGTTCTCAATGCTGTAGTCAATCAAAAACTAACTTCAGTATTATGGTTATCATCATCACCACTATTATCAGTTATATATTATATATCAGTATTCTCTTGAATGCTGGTCAGTCTTTATATAGTTACTTATAAAATAGTATATCTATTCCTTAACTAACAGCCTTGATTCTGTCTTATAAATATTGGCACTCTTCCAGTGTTTTTAATTGTTTTCAGCAATTTAGTCAGCCCATATGCTTATAAATTTCCTTTTGAGACTATGAAATGAATTATTTTTAAATAATTTCATATAAAATTAACAAACATAAAATTTGATCTAAAATTTTTTAAAGAAAACACTAGACAAAGTTTATAAATATAACATCAATAACTTTTTAACTTTGACATTTAGAATAAACTCAAAGTAATGCCTTAAAGTTTTACTATAGGAGATTTCTTTTTTTTTTTTTTTTGAGGGGTCTGGTCATGGAGCCTGAATGCTGTCCCTCAGCTCTTCAGCTCAAAGCTAGTGCTCTACCACTTGAGCCACAGCGCCACTTCTGGCTTTT